AGAAAACAAAGCTAACTAGAAAGAAACATGGTTTTGGGTGCTCTTTTATAGACCATTCTCAAGTTTTTATAAGAAAAAGAGCACCCAATATCCATAGCTTGCTACGGAACGATAATGATAGCATAAAAAAAGGAAGAGAAAGCTGAGGTATATAAAATGAAAATATATAACAGAAAAAATAATGGGACTTAAAAACCCTTAAATCATGTTTCTTTCTTGTTAGCTTTGTTTTCTATATTTTATTTTATTTAATATACACACTTCTTTCAATTTATTTTGAAATTAAATTACTTTTTTGAATTTTAAATATGTAAAATATTCAAAAATGGTACATTCCATTTTGGAACATTTATAATATTAAACCTGACGATGGTCAATATTAGATAGGTTAAAAACGTTTGTAAAAATAGAAGCATTTTAAGCACAGCAAAATTAGGTGTTGGTGAAACTGAAGTGAATTAGTTGCTAAGAGGTGAATAGATATGAAGTTATCAGTTTTAATTATAATATTAGCCTTATCCTCAAACCTATGAAAGTTAGCCTATTTTCACATAATCACCCACGCCCTCTTCAAGGCCCTGATATTTCTTTGCGCAGGATTTGCCGTCCACAACATAAAAATTAACCAAGATATACGAAAAATATCCCTTCTTCAGCATTTCCTCTCCTTATAAGGCCTCTTTTCCGGTCACCCACATATTCTAAAATGTCATAAGATGTAATCATCATGACTTATACAACTACGAAATCAACTAGGATTAATGTCGGACACAAATGCGAATAAAACGTTTTGACTACAGAGAGAAAATACATTAAAAAGACAACACACATGTAACTCTTGTATGTTGTCACGCACGCTATATCCTTTGTGGCAGCCATTTTGGTTGACTCATACGCCACCTATATTTACTGGCACAAGCAAATAGGTGATGGGTATGCGTGTCTCATCCTCCGGAGGGTTGTTATCACATGAGCGGATGGCAGACACATGCACAGAGTGGTGGTAATGATTAATTAATCCATTGATTAGCTTATGGTACCTGTGGATGGTTGTTAGGTGTTTAATATGAGCTAATTCGTTGGCTAGTGCAGCTGGGGTGGACGAATGAGAAAATGCCCTCCTGATTAACATGTTGAATGCGGCGGTCTTGTATTGGAATGGGTCACATGACCCAACTGGGATGTAAAGGGAGGCCATACCTGGTTTATGGTAGACTGAGGTGTGGACAGATGACCCTTTGATCTTGATGTTTAGATCTAAGAAGTGGACCTCTGTATTGTTAGCCTGTTCTGGTTAAGCCATAAGAATTGTCATTAACTGATTCCATAAATGTCGTCACATCCGGTGCATTTTTCCATAGGATGATCGTCAATGTATCTTTTATATAAGATGATGATAGGGAGAAACCATGGGAGGATCTTGTGCTCCAATTGCCTTATGACCATCTCGCATAAGTCTCCAGCTACTGAGCTCCCCATAGGAACTCCTCTTTTTTTGTGTGTAAACTGTTCCATTGAATCTAAAAAAATGAATTATAACATAACAGGTGGGCCATCTCCAGTACTTGTTGGTGCAAGGTGCGATCTCCAACAACTCTGAAGAGAAGATCTCTAGGGTGCAAAATGCTGGGGTAGCTCCAGTGAGAGGTATAAAGACTTAAAATCCAACACAGTGATAAATTGTGGACGAGAGGGAAGATCCTTTACAAGTGAAATGAGACACATGGAGTTAGTGATGTTGTGTGAGTATCCCTCCAGGAGGGGGCTATCAGTGAGTGGGCAGCCCTCTCCAATCTGCAAGTAGGGGCTCTAGCTTTATCCACCACCGACTGAAGTATTAATATTTACTCAGGTTAATATTTTTTAACACTGGATTATTTTATGAACCAGAAACAATTTATTGTTGATATAAATAATTTTTCCCATCAAAATATCAAAACGTTTTAAAATGGTTACAATTCTTATTAGAATGACAAAGAATCGTACACTTTATTTTATTATAAGATAGTTAATGAAGGTTTGTTGGAGATATATATAAAAAATGAAAGATGATCATTGTTAAAAAATATACATTTTATCACAAATGCATGAAGACTGATTGTAACTCTTTTATGCGGCTGATCCAGACATTGAGGCGGCTTTCAACCAAGTGAAGCTCATCATCTCTTCGCCTCACCCTGAGCACTTGAGATGGTTGGAGGCTATCTCCATTTACAAATCTAGCTGTGCCACCATGTGCATAAATTATAAAGAAGAGCTCAATTTGTTTGTTGCCTGGCAGGCCCTCATTGACATGGACTTTTAATTGCCATCTACCCACAGCATGTGCGCATGTCCATTCCAACAATTTTAAACCGCAAGTGAGTTCGATTTAGTTTAAATATTGATGTTCTATTTTTGTTCTATGTTCTGTCGCTTTTTATCGTCTGAAGAACTAGTAAGGTTCAAAAACATTTACAATATTTATTTGTCTTTTCTCCAACACCAGTAACTGGTTCAGGTATGTGTTGATTTCATCCCGGTGTTTTGTGAATGTAGAAGTTTATCCATTATTGGTGCAACAGAATGTTTTGGTACAGCCATTATAGCTAGTTATAATGATTTAACTTGTAGAAAATTTGAAACTTTTGGTATGTGATCAGTCTGTAAACATGTTATCAATGTTAAAGGTAAAAAAAATAATTATATCAAAGCTATATATAGACATAGTCTATTTATATTTAAACTTGGTATGAATTACATAGCATCAAATAATTATAAAAAGTTTCCATCATCTAGTCTAATTAAAATGATAAACTTCATAGTTTTATGATGCTGTAATAGTCAAAATGATTGTGCCTTAACTACTGTACTCTGATTTCATTTGTGTCAAAACAGTTGTGCCAAAACATCCTAGATTCCACTACCCTGTGTTTTATATATATATGAGTGAAATATTTTTGATTTTCAAAATATCAAAATATTTATTACAAACTTTACTGAATGATAATATTTTTACTAATTTTTATTTTTGTTCAAAATATAAAAGTAACACATTATTGCAAAAGTTTGGTAACATGTAAGTATAAAATAGGTAGTTTGAGTGTAACAACTGAAACCATAAGACTTCAGGAGAAAACAGAAATGCTAAGTTTTTGGAATGAACGCTTCTTTATTGGATAAAATATTTTTGGAATCTCCGTCCCATATCATACTCAACTTTGACTCCTAGAATTTGTAGTGTTTTTCTCTTCTTTATGATATATTAACTCCTTTGATACCCTTATTCCGATTCAAATGCAACTAAGAAATCCACAAAAATTAATTTTTTATATGAAATAATTATTTCTGCTTAAACGCGAATTTGACATCCAAAAAAAATTGCTGGGAAATAATCTCTTGCGAAGTAGAAACCCCTCCAAAAAGTGTTTTCACAAAAAAAGTATATAAAAAGATAAAAATAATTTAAAATAAATGCTTTTATTTTAAAAATATAGCTGTAAGGATTGTTATTCTTTTCTTTAACAAGGCGTAAAATTTCACACTTGCAGTCTACATTGGTCAACAGCCTCAACCAGTTAAAGGTAAAAAAAAATTATTATATCAAAGCTATATATAGACATAGTCTATTTATATTTAAACTTGGTATGAATAACATAGTTTTTTTTTACATCTTTCGCTTTCGCATCCGCTTTCCCGGGTAGTTTTCGTACACTTCAGGGGAATATTGGTTTAAAGCAGGAGGGAAGCTAACTTACCACATCTGTTCAAATATAACACAATATTGTTGATTTATATGCTATTAAATTATGGGGGGACCGAAAAAAAGGTACAGGGAAAAAATTCTAATGAACAAAAAATAAAAAAACCTGTTGATGTCAAAAAACATCCAATAGCGTTTTAAAAAATTTTACCAAAGTCAAATTGGTGAAATAGAAGTTTAGAACGATTTTCTTAATTTGGTTAAAAAACTCTCATAAAAAAACAATAGCATGATTAATTACCTAATTAATAAATCATAAAATATTTTTGTGGAAAAAATAATTCATGAAATTTCCACAGATCATAGATAACAATGTATATATGCTGATCCATACATTTTCAGAAAAGTTATAAGTTAAGGCTTTTTTAATGGCCCCTTAAAGTCCATGTCCGAGATATCTCAGGATATGGACTGCGCATTTGCACGTGCAGCCCGAGATATCTCAGGATTGGCTTAAGGGGTAAAAGATGCTTAATATTTTATGTAATTTTTAAATTAATCTCGGTAGATTATAAGAAACTAATTTAATGAAATAAATTATCATCTGTCCTATATTTATATTTCATTTAATCCATATTCCATCCAATTCTTATACATTAAAATACAGTAATGCCCTGAACTTACATGATAGGTGGGACCAAGCTATAACTGCGTAAGTCGGGGTATAATTTTGCAATTTGTGTAAAATCCAAGTCCGATGTATGTAAGCTAATAAATGTTCTCGTTAATCTTATCTCATCTTTTGATTCGTTCACGGTTACAAGAAATCACCACATAGAGTCTCTCAAGTCTCCATAGATATAACAAACACAGAAATAAATAACACAAAATAAATTGTAGCTACGTGTCGATTCCGCGCGATACGTCTGAACAAGTAAGCTGAACAATAGTGTGGTGGGAGTGAGTAATCAAGAGTTGCATGGTGCTCAAACAAAAGATGAATCGACAAGATTTGAAAATCGCGTAACTTCGGGTTCGCGTAAGTCGAGGTATTACTGTACTGTACATTAAACTTCCACTGTGAAAAGGATTAAAATCAGTTGCAAATGAAAAATACATTTCTGGCTCTGAGATTATTTACCTATTCCATATATAACTATTTATACTTTTAATTAATATTTATTTTTGTTGTTGATTGTTAAATGCTACTTGCTAGCATTTAAATTTGCTAGTTCCTTTTTATAATGATATATTTTATTATTTTAATGTATAGAATTGATGTATTCAAAATATTTAATGTTTTATGCTTTTTTAATAGCTTGCTCTTGAATTGGATTCTCCTCATACATTTTTAAGTTGTGGTGAAGATGCTGTAGTGTTTGAAATAGATCTTAGAGAAGAAAAGCCAGAAAAGTATAATTGAAAATTCTGTTTAAAATTTAATTACAGTCAGATAGTGCAAAAGTAATGCAGTTTTAAAATAAACAATAAAAAAGCATTATTTCAAATGGTCAATGTGTACACAATTAAATTTTTATTAATTTTACATAACTTACAATTTTGAAATTTTAATAAGTATGTGTTGTAGCCACATATTGAAATTTGTTATTTTAAGAACTGCCTAGCTATTTCTTCAAGTGCTAGCACATCCTGTAATAGACTTTTCCAGAATCTATTTAGTTTTCAACATTGCAGAAACCAAGTTAGCATTTTCAGAAGTAACCAGAAAAAGTAGACAGATTCTAAAACAAATGCTCATTACAGCATGTGTTAGCACTTCAAGAAATTTTAGCATGTGGCTACAATATATATTAAAAAAAAAAACTTATTTTGAAAAAATCAAAAAAAGTGATTTTAATTTGAAACCGACCATAAAATTTAGAAAGTGTTTTACTATATAATCAAAATTGTCTAATTTTCAAATTTAGATATTTTTAATCATAATTAATTAATGATTAATATACAATAATAAACTATAGATAATAAACTGACAATAGTAAACTATGAAACTAGCTTTCTAAAATAAATTTTATCATAATGCTGAGTATCTTCAATATTACTTATATTATTGTTTAATTTCAATCTAGTCATAAAAAATTTGAAAAATGAAATTTTAAGAATAATTTACTGATTAAGACAATTCATTAAGATTATTTTAATCTTTGTAGTCTTTAATAGTCTTAATATTAATCTAGAGCAGGGGTGCCAAAACGTGGTGCATTGGACAATTATAAGAGGCGCTTCAGTTAGTTCTGAGCAAAATTGCCAGATTTGGCTTTTTTGAGATTAAGAATATTATATAGAAAAATAAATTTTTTTTAGTCTGTCTTGGCAAGTTCATTTGTTGCACAATTCATTACAGTCTATTTTGCAGATAAAATGAGTGTTCTCCACATAGTAAATTACAGTGTATGCATGTATTTTGAGTCTTGCGATCTTTATTTCCGATAAGTTTACAGGCGTGTAAATGGCTGAAAACATTTACTGTGATTAAAGTTATTCCAAGCTGATCTCGTTCTCAGTGCCAATAATTGTGGTGCAGAGTAATCTTCACCAAACAAGACTCTGGCAGCAATAGCACCATCATGAAGCAATCAC